AGGTTGGACCGCGGAATAATTCAACGGGGCCAATTTGTGGTACTCCCTGCACACAGAGTAGAGCCATAAGGGCTCGTGTATGGACGCGTAGTCTCTCGAGTGCAGAGATTCTTACGTACGCCCGAGGTGTTTACCAAGAAAAAAGGGCAGAATCGCAGTAAATCAGCGCTAATGGCGTTGTAGCTGGATACTGTGAATCGGACGATGAGCAAAACGCTGTAACTAGGGATCTTCCCCGTTATCGATATATCGATATAATATTTAGTGCCGGAAGGAAGTATCGTGGCAGTTATCACGGAACGCCTTCATTCAGTATATCAAATTTAATATTCGTTAAGTGCTATGCTTCTTAAATAGGGGCGTATTAGTGGTACCTTTCTGCCATAAATATAATTTTTCTGAATAACGAGTTCCTGCAATGTCGTAACAGACATAATAGCTTACCCACTTAACAATTTTTAACGATTTCTTGTGAAAATAATACAAATATTCTAACAAGTAATAGTCTAACAAGGAACCATCGCGAACGGTCCGGCTTCGATTTTGATGAAACTTTGTACACTTATAAAGCAGCCAAAAATAATCGACACGTATTTTTTTTTAGCTGCGGTAACTTGAAGTTTTGGCTCGAAACGGCTATCTCGAAAACGGAAAGAGATACAAAAAAATTGTTAATGGGCGAGGTTGATGGTTTCTTATGTACAATAACATGGTGTTAAAAAATTAAAAAAAATACAATTTGTTTATAACAAAAAAAAATTTATTAACTTAATTTTTCATTTTATTGAAATTTTCATAATGACAAAAAATGACGAGCATTTTATTCCAAATCCATTGGTATGCGATTTTTTAAAATTGCCTCCTACAGTTTTGCAGATTTTGATGATTTACATCTTGCGCGCACATCCATTATGGTAGTAGCCGTTCTAACTTTGATTTTAATGAAGCACTGTAGGCTTGCACTAAATTATACAGTAACAAGTAACAAGTAACAATAACAGTAACAAGTTTCTTAACAGCAATGAAAAGATTTTTTTTTATGCCCACCTATGACATTGTGGCAAAGGGGGAGCGATTTATAAATTATAAATACATACAGTGTGTATACCAGGAGATAAAGATACACTTATTATTCTCATGATGTACTTGCTTTAAAATACAAATTGAATAAATAAATATTGTCATTTCTGCGGCTCGCCTATCATGCAGTTTACGCACGTTATCTAAATCTTCACTGTTGTGAAAGCATTCTGTGTAATTTGTATAATAAAAATACGTGTCAAATGAGATTAGTATGTGCATCTGTATCTCTGTTGTTATTAACATTCTTTAAAATCGAGACGGTTTTTGTAATAAACATGATAAAATGGGTATATTGAAATGGAGTTTGTATTATACCTTTTGATAACGTGACATATCGTAAAGTTAATTAAATTGATTGCCCTTGTCATGTGAAAATAATATTTGTTGGTAGATAAGTGGGAGAACATTGTTGGTTATCCATACAGCCGAGGTGCCGATTCTGGGCATTTAAACGTTGCACTTATCCAGCCAATCTTTTGTTGCATATATCCAGCTTTTACTGTATTCGGAAAGATGGTAAATATTAATCCTATTAATGTAATAACTTTACTGTCTGCTGCGTTTGTTGAGTGGAACCAGGGACCCACGCCAATTAATAGCGCAGAAGAAAATTTAAGGGATGTATTATTCGATTTAATTGTAAGAAGTGTCGAAGACACGGCATTCCTGGTTGAACATGAAACGTGTGTTGAAATGGACGGGACGCCTATCGACCAAGAAAATCAGGATGCTGATTTGAACTGGTTGTGGGTAGATGAAGAGGAGGAAAATAGGACACCGAATATTCCAAACATATACGAACAAGACGTTGTATGTCATTCGAATAAGGAATACATCCCATTCGAATATAAAAGGAAAGCTGTGGCGTACTGGAACAGCGGGAAGTCGAAGCGATTAAAATTAGACACCGTACGTTCCAAATTCCGTCACGTGAAATCCGAAAGAATGCTTCGTAAATGGGCTTTACAAGTTGAACAGGGTGGCACAAAAAAGGAAAAGATAAAACGTATTGCAGAGTATACATTTAATAAATTTATGGAAGCTCGGCAGTTAAGAGTAATTGTGCATGAAGTAGATCTACGGCGATGGGCTTTACAAGCGAGGGATATAGAAAATTTACAAACATTTAAAGCCGGATATACTTGGCTATATACTTTTAAAAAGATGTTTAGATTAGTGTCCAGAAAAATTACCAGATTTGTAACCACAAATATGGTAAATCGAGAAGACGATATTCATTTGCAATGCAGCGCATTCGTGAATGAAGTAAAATCATATATAGCCCGAAATGAACCACACAATGTTTACAATTCCGACCAAAGTGGTTTTAATTTGGAATTACATTCAGGGCGCACTTTGGCTGAAGAAGGTATAAAAATCGTAGAAGGAGGTGTTCAATCAGTGTCATCCACCACTCATAGTTACACCATCCAGCCAACCATTTCAGCTGATGGACAATTACTGTCACCATTATTTATTGTACTGAAAGAGAGTACAGGACATTTCGGGCCGATTGTGGAACAACATTTATTTCGCCCTGACAATGTATATCTTGTAGCTTCAAAGTCAGGCAAATTAACTACGGACCATTTCAAGACCTGGTTAAGAGAGATTTACTTTGCAAATACTGGGGCCGCAACAGTTCTAATTCTTGATTCCTGGAGTGGTCACTGTAAGAAGACGGTGAACGAAGTTACTCCCGAGGGCAAAAATGTAAAACTTTTTATAATACCAAAAGGTGGAACAAAGTATGTTCAACCACTGGATGTTTACGGTTTCCGCACTTGGAAAAATTTCGTCCGCCGATTTTCCGATATAGTTCTCGTTTTAAATCACGACATTAATCTCCACGCTAGGAATAATATAATTAAACTTCAATCTCTGGTCCACAATCAATTTTCATCGCCAAGGTTCCAAAATTTTATTAAATACTCCTGGTATAAATCCGGATATATAGATGAAAAGCCAAATGCATTCCAGAATCCTGTTGAGTACTGCTATTCTGTTGAAAATGAGCCAACATGTCATATTTGCGGTGACGTGGCAATAATTAAATGCGCATGGTGTAAGAAATCTTTATGTTTCAGACATTTTTTCGACGAGTACCACTATTTTCGGAACTATATAGAATAATTGTTATACACACTGCATATATTTATAATTTATAAATCGCTCCACCTTTGCCACGATGTCATAGGTGGGCAATAAAAATAATTAATCCTTTCGTTGCTGTTAAGAAACTTGTTACTGTTATTATTACTCGCTACTTATTACTGTATAATTTAGTGCAAGCCTACAGTGCTTCATTAAAATCAAAGTTAGAACGGTTACTACCATAATGAATGTGCGCGCAAGATGTAAATCATCAAAATCTGCAAAACTGTAAGAAGCAATTTTAAAAAATCGCATACCAATGGATTTGGAATAAAATGCTCGTCATTTTTTGTCATTATGAAAATTTCAATAAAATGAAAAATTAAGTTAATAAATTTTTTTTTGTTATAAACAAATTGTATTTTTTTAAATTTTTTAACACAATGTTATTGTACATAAGAAACCATTAACCTCGCCCATTAACAATTTTTTGTATCTCTTTCCGTTTTCGAGATAGCCGTTTCGAGCCAAAACTTCAAGGGGTGGTTTCACCCCTTAAACTCGAGTTACCGCAGCTAAAAAAAAATACGTGTCGATTATTTTTGGCTGCTTTATAAGTGTACAAAGTTTCATCAAAATCGAAGCCGGACCGTTCGCGATGGTTCCTTGTAAGAATTTGACCAAAATGAAAAACTAAAGGACGTGACAAGCAATTTATTGAAAACGTTAATTAAGCAGGAAATACTCACCTCCTTTAATAAATTTTTATCAGTAAACCTGGAAAGCATTATTTAAAAAAATAGAAGTAAATATATTTATGTTATTACAAATTATACGTTCCTCTGCAAAGTTATTTATTATATTGTTGTAATCAATATTCAACGTAAAACTAGATTCAAAAACAATTTCAACAGTTCAATTAACCTCTTAGACACGGCTGAATTTTTTATTCAATTTTTGTATTGTAGCTGTACGACGGAGTTCAATGCGAATTACGCGTAAACATTGAAATGAAGTTTTTTGATAGCACTGTTATAAAATGTTGTGAAGGCAAAAGGAGTGTGAAACAAAACATATGAAAACGATTATTTAATTCAAACGGTGAGCGAGTGAGCCACTATAGTGGCGCGTCGTTCAGAAAGGTGACATCCGCGAAAGCCAGTATTGTGGCGCATCGTGCCTAAGAGGTTAATTGATTACGTGTACGTGGTAATGTTAGGCTAAAAATTATTAAGTTCGAAAAGTAAATATAGTAAAAATAACTATGCGATTTATTTTCAGGTATGACAAATTCAAGAACCAGTGTGAAGTTCGTTGAGGCAGAGTTGGGGTTTCTATGCGGCATGTGCCTTACTTTTATAAATGCAATGCCCTTCGAAATCCCAAAAATGTCCAACGCTTGTCAGCGTCGCTAAAAAACGGGAATGAGATTTCGAAACGAACCGAATTACAAAAGCGAGGATTTTTATTGCGATATAAAATTAAAATTTCCCTCCAGTTCAAAAGAAATTCAACCCTCCAACGACGAGCACAAATGGCTCCATTTACGGTTATTTAAGGAAGGACACAATTTGTTGAAGAACGCCTACTTTACAAGATAAAATTGTTAAAAACACGTATCTTTATATCATTCCTTTTATACCGAATTAAATTATGTAAACGAATGTTTGACACATTTTAAAACAGAATGATACACAAAATTGAAATTGTTTTTTTCAAATATTCGATCATTCTTTCCAAACTTAATTATACGAAATTAATTTTTACATAATAGAATTCAATGTAATAAATGGCACAAAAGGTTCACTATTAAAATAACTCACCAGTTCGAGGTTCACATCCGCCAATCGCAGCCTTGGTATCCTGACGGTGCTTCTGCGTAACGGTGTCGTATAGATGTTTTCATCTCGATTGTCTTCATTATCAAATCGCAATCGAGCCCTTCGCATTTTGTACAGTCTCGAATTTTGATTTCTGCACTTTTATTCGTACTTACACAATTTCACGTCAATCGACTGCAAATATTAAACTTACTTAGCATCGAACGCGATCGAATTATCAAATTTATTTTTCAACAAATCCCACTGTTCTCGATGTATTATACTTTAAGGGGAGATTCTCGTGTAACAGGTTCAAAAAATCGATTTATCATTTCTTGCATAAATCAAAAAAACATTTTACAAATATGCTACAAAAAGTAGTTCATTTTCTTTTCAAACGTTATAAATATTTCAATTCTCCATATTTTCACTTTAAATTGGGTTCTAACTTAAAGAAATTCCTTTTCATTTTGCAGTTAGATAACTGTGAGAAGAAATTACCAAAATTCTACAGTTGATAAATAATAAAATGAATCTATATAAAAAAAGTTTGTTCTACAATTTGAAACTATCTCCTTTTATCCCCCAAAAAGTACAATCAAATATTGACAATAGTTTAAAAAAAAATTTCGCAACGTTTTGTATTTATAATCGATCTTTCGTAACAGAAATTTTGAAACTTATTTTCGCGGATACGCACAAAGAATCGATTCGTTTAATTCGTACCGTGCTTACGATCGTTTGCAATTTAATTACACAACGCGTACGACACAAAGCCACGTGCTATATTTGATAAGTATGCGACAAAAGACGATCACGAATATTTCAAAAGTACAAAATTGCTTTCGAGAACGAGTATAATGTACTACGAACCGGTTTCCGCGTCGATCAACGTTTAACTGATCGACATTGAGCAAGGATCACGAAGACGTCGCTAGGCGTACTCTGTTCGAAAACGTAAACACAACAGGCAGTAACTTGTCGAATCAAAAAAACTTTTGACTGCTTCGAGGAAAGCCAGGCCAAATTCGCTGGCAGTAAATACCTTTCCGTTTTTTCTTCAGAATCACGAACCTTTCAACGGCCACGATAATTTATTTGCGCCAAACAGCGTGTGTCACGTAACTGCGTCGCCTGAATTTTCTTGTAAACTATTTGTCGTATAAATTTTACAGTACGAGATCATTAATGTTCCTTTATATGTATAAAACTGCATATTTCTTTAATACAAATTGAATCGTTTATAACAAATACATATTTTATTGTTGAATGAATTGTACATTGTACGCAAGTTTTATTACGTTGTAAATCCTAAATTATTATTATAATAGTATAGATTTATTTATAAAACATGTATATATCTTAAACCCTTGAAAATTATGCTGAAAATAAAAAATGTTATATTAAAGAATTTTTGAAAATTGAATCTTGAAGTATTGAAGGAGGTAACCTAATTTTAAAGTTTATTTTATAATTACACATGTCGTGTAATTATGTGTTACGTCGACAGGAAGACGGATGGATCTAGAAATGTGTAAAAAATGAAATCACAATGCGTAGCAGCAGATTATTTTATTGTATCAATCTGTTGTTTGTCACGTTCAGTAACGGACTGTGTGGTCCATTATATAGGAAAAATATTTTGTAAGCGTGTATTTATATTCGTGAGAACTCACTTACATATTATAAGACGATCCTGTATCAGAACAAGATCGCTTTCTAAATTACAATATTTAACTACATCATTTAATAACAGCGTGAAACAATTGCCATTCTATGCATTCCTTAAAAAGTTTGATTTTTCTTACACAGATGTACAAGCCGTCTGAGAAGACGAAACTTATGTATTCAAACTTTTGAAATGTTTGAATTATCCATCGATTCCCTAAAAAGTCAACTGTTCGTAGGGAAATGATCGATAATAAAAATATTTTTAAATTTTGAACGCGTCCTTACTTTTTAAACGACAGTTGAACATAAATTTTAATTAAGTTCGTTTAACTAAATTTCGTAAATTTATCGAAAAACTAAATACAGTGAAAACACGATGCAAAATAATCAGTGCAATTGTAGCATTATCTAACTACGTTAGATTATTACTTCATTCTGTCATGTATACGTGGAAGAAAAGAAAATAAATTGCGTGAATATCCGTGTCGCTTTGAAAATCACGAAACAAGAAATTATATAATGAACAAAATGATGCCGACCTGTCTCGACATCCTCAACTTATTCACCATCGTTTTAGTCTAATTAACGCCAAGAGGCCACTTCGGCGAAGGCCTTCTTCATGTCCGATACTTGAGCAGTGTCAACGTCATTGTACTTCCGCTTTCGGCGCCGTTTCCCTGCGCGGATAACAAAAAATTGGTTTATTCGCAACGACATAACCCTTCGAATCTATTAGTTAACTCTAAATCCCTTACGTTTTCTGCAAACAAATAAAAATGATCAAAGGCAACCAAAATTACTTTCATGTCTCAAACTCGAAATTTTTCTAGCTAATTATTTCTTTTGCAAAAAAAAAATGCATCGGTATAATACAATCGATTGCACAAAATAGTAATATTTTTACTATATAAATCGCAAGTCTTGCTCATGAAAGAAAATGAGGTATCTTTGAGAGACAATTTACCTATTTTTCTCGATCTGTTTCTGTACTGATTTCTAATTGGAAAAATAGGGGTTCGTGTTGCGACAACCATCTTTTTTTGGTCAAAGGGTGTCATAATTCTGGTCATTTTCTTTTTGCTTTTCCGCGATTTACACAATCAAATTTTCGTAATCCTCAGAATGGTCGAAGCTTTTAGATTATTTATATTGTAATATTCGCGACTGAGCTAAGGTTATTTTTTGGTTCGCCATTTTGCGCGACCTTCGTTTGCTCGACGAACGACTCGACTACCTAGCAGGTCTTCGACACAGCTCTCGATCGTTCGTAAGGATTAGAAAAATCGGCAATAGACTCTGACGTTAATTCCAATTTGTTACCTGTGGCCACCTTCCACTCATCCTCGTTCTGCGTCTTCTTTGCGCCGTTCGTCGACACCGAGTTCTCCCCCGTTTCCACCGCGACATCTCTGAAAACAAAGAAAACAGTCAACCCTGTCTATCGCGGTAATTCTTGATCCAAGATCCGCGATTCTGCACACAAATATTTCAAATGTGAATCTTTTTTTTTCCTTTGGGTTTTAGGTTTTGGGTTTGGTTATTTTGGGGTAATTCTGTTAAATTTTATGGTACAATTGGGTTTCTTTCAGATAGTTCAAATACAGAACTTCTTCCAACCAACCCGAAACCTCAAAAGGAAAGATAGAATAATTCTATCAAGACTCAGAACCGGACACTCAAGGATTACTCGCCAAACGTGTATCTTCCAAGGATCGAAAACTATTATAATATCGATTTCAATTACGAGGAACCGAAACAGTGTTAGAAATAGTTTTATTTCGGATCCATTTCAATTATAATTATATCTATACTCCTCATATACACCTTTGAATTCTTTTAATTGTTAAAATAAATAAACTCATCGATCTCAAAATAAAAATTCGCTATTTGCCTAATAATTTTTTATGTTTTCTCATTTTTCCATTCTCGATACTCTAACACGATTTATCGGAATTGTTGCGAAATGGAGCACAACAGGACATTTGGTATTCGCGGTAAATATACGATGTGGAAATCGTAAACGGACATTGCCGGAAATAAATAACATGCATATTTGCGTACGCGTTCCGTGATCGTGCATGGAAACACGTTGATCACTTCCGTCGTGCATACGTACAACGTACGTTAACGGGAATTGATCGAACACGCGGGAATATGGACCAAAGTTTAAACTCTGAAAAATCCCATACAAGGCCCGGATACGGCTCGTTGAAAAAAAAAAAAAGAGATCAATTGCCTCTAGTCGTACACTATCGAGCGTAACAGTACGAAGAATTTATTCGGTGCACGTGTTGAAGCTTGCTGCGGAAATGTTGTTGGCCGTAGTCACAACTTATGAATATGCAGCATCACGTGCGTGCATGCAGAATGCACGTGTGTACATCGTCGTTAAGTATGGCTGATCAGTGCAAGAATGCCAGATACCCTTTCAGCGGGGAATTTTCTTTCGATGCGTGTCTTTCGTGAACATCAACCACTCCAACGAACCTAACAAGCCTCTAAAAGTTTCTTCGTATCTCGCGCGAAGAAAATCTTTCTCGATAAGGGCAAACTTTTTCAATACTAAACTCAAATATTTCCTTAAAAATGTACAAATCATCTCTTCAGTTTTCTTTTGGCACCTGATCGAGACTAATCTAAAAAAGATCGTTCGTTTCTGTGGAAGATGAGAAATTCATCCGAGTCTTCAACGGTAAAATCTTCGATTCTGAATCTTCTCAACCGGTTGGGGATGGTTTACAGCGGTATAACCAAATATCTTCTTAAAAATAACTAAGTTGTCAAAAATGTACAATACAAATTATCTCTTCGGTATCCTTTTGGTACCTGATCGAGACTAATCTAAGAAAGATCTCTCTTCGTTTCTGTGGCAGATGGGAGATCCATCCAAGTCTTAGACGTTAAAATCTTCGGTTCTGAATCTTCTCAACCAGTTGGAGATGGTTTGAAGCGGTGTAATGTCAGTTTCTCTGGGGTTTTCGTGCTCAGAAACATACTAGAAAATGAATGAGCAAATACACTGTTTGAAAACTAGGATAGGACTCAATTTTCCATAAGAGAAAACAGACTCAACCGCTTCTCCAGGTATTGACCTCAAAAGCAAACTTATGGGACAACCTAATAGATCCCGCAATTAGAGGGTCAATGCGCCATCAGCAGCGCGATTACTGTTCCAGAAATTCATTCAGGAATTCTCGGTGTGCATTGTCACGACACTGGCAGCAACTCTATAAGATACATGGGTTAGACTAGCCGGCAACACGGTATTAATGAGGCGCCCACGTGCCGACCAATTACTACGCTCGTAACTCTTGTCATTCCAAGGAATGGTAACTGCATCGAGCGACTCGAGCTTTTATTGCATCTTGTACGAAACCTTGAACTTCGTGTAGCGGATATGTACCTCCTCGTATCCCTGTAAACTTCCGCCAAGGCATTAAATGACGGGGAATTCGATGCGAGCGTGGCTCGAATTATTCCGAAAGTAGATATCCCTGAGCGTTCCTCGTCGAATAAACATTCGAGCAGCCATTTTTACACAGTGGCACGACAAACTGATAGAAAAATTCTTTCCACGACGAATCCCTTTCTTTCAAGGAAAAGATGTAATATTCCTGTTCAACAGAATTAAAGTTTGCTGTTAAAAATCGAAAAGTAGCTTTCGACTTTAACGAAACAATTTTGGATATTTCTTTGCCAAAATGGCGAAATAAGTGATATTTTTATTCCGTTGCTATCCTTTCAAATATAATATTCCTGCTTAATAAAATTCTAGTTTGCTGTTAAAAATTGAAGGGTAGCCTTCGACTTTAACGAAACAATTTTGGATATTTCTTTGCCAAAATGGCGAAATAAGTGATATTTTTATTCCGTTGCTATCCTTTCAGATGTAATATTCATGCTTAATAGAATTCTAGTTTGCTGTTAAAAATCGAAGGGTAGCTTTCGACTTTATCGAAACAATTTTGGATACGATCTTTTTCCAAGATGGCGAAATACGTGATATTTTTATTCCGTTGCTATATTTTTAGATCGTGGCCGTTCCTTCCTTGAAAAGCGTCTATAGAATTTAAAAGTTTCGTTTTAGAGGGATATCTGATAATATTATCAGACACCGAAGTAATGTTTACGGTCTGAAGAAGGTAAAGGTACCAGGAGATAGTAGATTTCCATGCATAATGCAAATACTTTGGAGCAAGCAGTATAGCGAACACAGCCGCTGTATCTGGATTATGCCTTCGGGATCGCGGCTATAATGAGTTTAACATGCTTCCGGTTTTCTTTTACTTGTTGCAGCTTCTTTTCTCCTTTCGATGCCTTTTTCCACCACGCGTACATTCGCTGCTTATTTTTAAATTTTAACACCCACATCACGAATAACTGTATTTTTTTTAAATATTGCATTTCCTATTTTACACGACGACAGACGTTTTAAAGCCAAGCAAATCACTTTGATCCCGTTAATTTTGCGAATATAAACAAATCCTGTTGTAAATAAGCAAATAAAAAGTTTTACCATTTGTCTTAAGTGGAAACTACGATCGATTGTGCTTCTTTTACTTGTTGCAGCTCCTTTTCTCCTTTCGATGCCTTTTTCCACCACGCGTACACTCGCTGCTTATTTTTTAATTTTAACACACACATCACGAATAACTGTATTTTTTTTAAATATTTCATTTCCTATTTTACACGACGGCAGACGTTTTAAAGGCAAACAAATCACTTTGATCTCTTTAATTTTACGAATTCAAACAAATCCTGTTGTAAATAAGCAAATAAAAAGTTTTACCATTTGTCTTAAGTGGAAACTACGATCGATTGTGCTTCTTTTATTTGTTGCAGCTCCTTTTCTCCTTTCGATGCCTTTTTCCACCACGCGTACACTCGCTGCTTATTTTTTAATTTTAACACCCACATCACGAATAACTGTATTTTTTTAAAATATTGCATTTCCTATTTTACACGACGACAGACGTTTTAAAGGCAAACAAATCACTCTGATCTCTTTAATTTTACGAATTAAAACAAATCCTGTTGTAGATAAGCAAATAAAAAGTTTTTGCGTTTCTCTTAAGTGGGAATTATAATCGACCGTACTTTAAGAAAATAAAAAAAGAAAAAATCATTTCTTTTTTCAAACTTCTAGCATAGGACACTCCCGTTAAGTATACAAGGTGTCTCAGTATTGATGGTACAACCGGAGAGGAGGTGATTCTACATAAAGAAACAAACTGAAAATAAAGAATAAAATTATATCATTTGAGATTTCGTTGTCCAGAAAATCAACTGTGAATATGCACACGCGCGCATTTAACTATGGCTTAGATAAATAAATTTCGATGCTGGCTTTTATTATGTTTTTTGTACTTCTGTACACTCATGTTGACATGATTTCCTAAGCACGTATCATAATTTTATTTGTTGTCCTAGTATGTTATTATCCTCAATTTTGACTTATCATGGTCCCCATATTTAACACTCTTTGATTTGTATCTATGGGGTCATGTTAAAACAAACGAGTATAAAAAGAATATTTTATGCACTCCTCGATTAAAAGCGAGAATCATTCGGGGAATTAAAGATACAGAATACATTAGAATCCATTAGTTCATGCAAATCTAATTTAGAGAATTGAATATGTAGCACAACGGGCAATTTTTAACAATTTTTGTATGAATTAAGTTAGTTTAATAAGTAAATTACATGCCTTATTTTCATTTCAATCTACTTTAAATCCATAAATAGAGGTAACACAGTACATCGTGTTGATACTAATAATATTGGTGCTATTTGTATCGAAATCAATTAACAATTGATTTTCTCGACAACGAAACCTTAAATGAAAAAATTTTACTCTTTACTTTCGATTTGTTTTTTCATCTAAAATCACGCTCTTTCCACGTGTACCGCCGATGCTGTGACACCCTGTATAATTTGAAACCCGTTGTGGTCGGTACGTTGATGCAAAAATGATGAAAATAATTTTGTACAATCGTTTCGCCCAGTCCGGTATTTAAAAGCATTCCGAATGCTTAAATGTAACTAAGCGGAACGTAATAAAATACAGAACGAAAGAAGTCTCTACCGAAATAACGTACGCTCGGCGCGAAAATTGCTTGGTAATAACGTGGCTATGGCGCCCGACGATATACAGCGCCATTATAAAATTTTTCTGCAATAAGCCATCCCGATTTATCGCGGGCGCGTTTGAATCTTAATCTTTTTCCAATTTGCTGGCGTTACGGAAGGCGATTGCCTCGATCGGTCGGATCCACCGTTGGTCGTTCCGAGCCGGGTAATTACGCGAATGGTCAGGCATGATAACCTGTTTCACGGTAATTAATATACACGTACGGGGCGAGACATTTCTTTTTTTTCCCGAATACGTCGTAATAAAACGCGCGTTGCA